TTGCCGCAGAGGCGCGTAGGAGACTGGGGACCCTGAGAAACGGCTTTCTGAGGGAGGGGACAGCCAGTCAGGGCTCCCCTGGTGAACGATTTCTCTTGTTTAATGGACAGTTTGGCACTAATCAATATTTGTTTGTGGCATTATCTTCAATTCACTAAGCTCCTTGCTGCTTTTTGCCTTCCCTCAGTGGTTAACCACCTCCCTCTCCCTCGAGGCCCCCCGGGGAGCGCAGCAGGACAGGGGCTGGGGCGGCAGGCGAATGGGGACTAGGCATTTGAAGAGCGGGGAGATGCAGGGAAATGCCAGAGGCAGCAGATGTCAGTGGCCAGGCCTTTTGTTCCCTGCACTCACCAGTCTGAGCTCTGGGACCACCTTTTTGTCTCTCTCTCGCCATTGTCATTCACCAAGGAGGGGCAGCTTTTCGGGAGTTAGCCTCATACAGCTCATCTCTCTCCCCAGGGCCCCAACAAAACAGCCAAGATTGCCCTCATCCTCTGGTTTCTATTTAGATCACTTTCCATTTAACATTTAAAAAACCCTCAGTCAGCTAGTGTCTTACAGGGCTGATTCATCCCTACGACTTGACTTGCTGCTCCCCTTGGCAGGAGCATTTTTCATCCTACTTAGGAGAAAGAAGAGCCAGGGTGCACACGTCAGGTGCAGTTTCTGTAATCCTTTGCCTTGGGGAATGCAGTGAGAATGAGCCCCCAGCCAGGGAAGCCACGCTACAGCCACTGCTCAAGCCAAACTGAGTGAGAAACGTGGGTACCTATTGCACATAGTGTTTTACTATAGTCAGACTAGTCATGGAAAATGTCGCTGCCATCCTGTATTTGATGATGGCAAGAAGGGAACAGGAGAGGTGGCTCTAGTACAGCATGCAGAACCACAGCCTGGTCCCTTGGAGAGCTGTGGGGACATCCTGCTTTCTGCAGCCTCAGCTCAGAAACAGCCAGCAGGAGCATCGAGTACCATGGTGTCTGCTCAGGAGGGACCTAGCAGCTGGGGCTTCCCAGCAAAAGGATTGAGCTTGGTCAGTTGGCTTGGTCATGAGTATTCTCCCTTCAATTGAACTTGTAGTGCAGCCTCCTGCATCCAAGTGGCTTTCTGCGCCGTGCAGTCATCCCGGGAACCCGCCAGATGAAAAAACAGTGTGCACATGTGCTCCCTCCCTCTCCTCCCTTCTTACTTGTGTGTATAAATACCCGAAACCCTGGTGAGCTGGCCAGAGCTGCTGGTTCACTGGGCTGCCGGCAGCATGGCCACAAAAGGTGCAAGTAAATGTGCAGATCCCTGGGGAGGGAAACATTAGCTCATTGGATGCAAACAGGGCACACATACACTACAGGACGTACACTACAGGACATATAGGGGCATTCCCTAATCTAAATCTAATCTCTCCTAAACCCTGTCTGGCAAGGACAGCAATATGTTTGCACTGACAATCAGTGCATTTTCCTTGCAGGAGGCTAAAATCTGCCGCGGGCTGGCAAGGCAGCTCAGCCTGCCCTCCCTCCTGCTCCCTGCTGCTTTATTTCTCCCCACCCTGCTGTGAAGTGTGCTGCTGGCCAAATGCCACCCCCACTGCCCCCCAGCCCCAGCACAGCTGGGACTCGCTATTCAGAAGGGAGAAGATGATGCTATAGGGTAGTTAAATGCTATAGGGCAGGTAGTTAAATGGCTTTTTTAGTGCTCAATCCGGATCCATCATCTTGCTTGCAAGTGGGAGTGAACTCAATCCGGAACTGAATGGCCTCAAGCTTCCATGAGCTATTGGGACACTTAAGGCCCAATCCATCAAGACACTGTGTGCCTTTGACTTCTAATGCAGTCAGCTGCTACCCAGCAGGACAAGGACTATAATTCCCAGTAAGAGACAGTTTGACTCTGTAATGACTTATAAATAACGCGGAAAACACCCTTCATCCATTTGCTAGTACCACAAATATACAACTCCAATGCATCGGGCTGAAAACAACCTATAGTCCATTAGTGCACACTGCAACCTCCAATAATTTATTTTCATCCTTTCTATGAATCTCATTGTAATAGTCTTAATAATTAGCATCAAAATTTACATATACAGGTTTAATGTGCAAGACAACCAGTACCTTCAATCACAAGTGAAACCCTTCACGTACTCTTTTACAGACAACTCAAATACTGTAGAAGGTTACTAATACTTTAGTACAAGATATTTGGGGGTTCTTCAAGCAGAAGAAAATGCACGCAGCTAAAAGCACTACAGAAGATGCACCACTTAAATTAACCGTCGTTCACAAGAGACAAGGAGATTACCTGTATGGGAAGCTAACCATGCCTTTCATCGCACTTTGAAGCCATTCCTGGTCATAACATTTATGTCATTACTAGGTAGTTGATGATTTCACCAAATCCTGAGTTATTTATGGGACCAAATCAGCAAAGCCTTCACCCACAGAATTCACATTTCTGTTGGCCAGGGTTCTGTATGCTTGGGGAAAAACACCTCCATATGGGCAGGCAGCTGGAAGTAAGATTCTGTTCCCCCACCTGTACTTCAGCATGGTTTGTAGACATAAACACTGTGATAATTTTCCGCTCAGGAGTGAATTCTACCTATTTAGAGCTCACCAGTTCAGCCTTCAATATGTACAAAATTCAGACTTCTTTATTATGGGAATCTGATATTAAAATAAGCAAAAAAATTAACAACAAAATGTGATCTTCATTCTACCCTAAAACCTACATGTATGTACAATACTAACGGCTTGCTTATTTCAGCAAGTGCTGGGCCTCAATATTTTACTTACAAGTAAGTGGTTCTATAAATATTTTTAATATTTTTACCACGAAAACAATGAGAACAGAGCAACTTAAGGTATACTAAACCATATAAAATTAGTGCAAATCAATAGATATTTATAATTACAGTATCTGCATGATATAATTAAATGTGCAGGTAACATTTTTTCTAGTTCTAGGCTGTATTTAAAGATTGTTAAGGTTGGCACAAAATAAAAACTTTTACCTCCGATACTTATGTGCAAAGTCCTTGTTAATCCTAGCTGATCTAGGATATTAAGAGAACCTCATCATCCCAATAACATCAAATTGTCTGTGTTAATCAGCCAGGTCCAGCAAGGGCTTCCATTATCCCTCCTGGATGCAACACACGCCCCATCGACACAGGGAGCCCCTCTCAGAGGCACAGCCCTTCCCCATCACGCTGGCCACTCAGTGATAAATAAGTGGCTTCTGCACCAGTTACAGCACTCCCTACACTCGGTGGTCCTTCAGCACAGGCTTTTTGCTAAGCCTCCATCTAGATGAGATTTCACATTGCCAGGAAATGCTGTTCATTAATGACTTTGAAAACACTTTGCAAAAATCGGGGTCTAATCACCCAGGATTTTACACTGAAATTCCTTTATCTGCTGTAATATGCACGTGAGACAATTTTGATCTGGGCCAAAGTTTGTTGGTATGAAAGGACAGGATGTCTGAGGTGTTATTCTGAGTCTTTCTCCAAGTCAGAGTGCAAAAGAAACAGCTTTCAAGAAAAGGATCCCAGAGTACATCTTCTCACCCATAGCTAAATGAGCAGCTCTTTCTACAGAAAAAAAAACCAAACAATTTTTATGAGCAAATATTTCCCTTTTGCTAAAAAGAAATCAACAGAAAACCTGCACAAATTGCTCCTGACTTGCTTGCATGGCTAGTGAGAAATGGAGGGTGAAACCCTCCAGTCCTCCCACGGAAGCTTAGGCAGTCCCACAGGCTGGGGAGGGATCTGGGACCAGATCTTTAAGGGCTGAGAAGTCCTGGCATTGTCTATCCTACACCTCAGATCTTAAATTTAGGATAGGAGAAGGGTTTCCCTCTTCCCCCTACCTACCTAAGCAGAGGTATCACAGAGCTGATTTTAAAACCTTTGTGCCTCGAGAATTAGTATATGGTGCATTTTTAAAAGCATTCAGGAGTGATGCTACGGCAGCCATCCTACGTAGAGCCAGCAGGAGGAAGCGGAGGAGCCCAGCCTTCATGTCAGGACTCACCGCGGAAGGCCCACCTGGCCAGGGCTCCCAGTCGTGGCAAATTTCTAGAAAAGAGATGTTTACAGGACAGAAAAGCCCAGTGGTGGGATCATGCCTGCTCCTGGCCTGTGCTTGAGCCCACATCGCAACGCCTCTATGAAGCCACTTGACTGTTAGCAACCCACCTAAGAGCTCACTCGTGCTTGGGAATATCTTCATGTTTGGTCCTCTGAACTGTGAGAAGGCAGAGCCCACCTCCAACACCTCTGCTAGGCCTGCGGCTATTTTGTTACACCCTGCCCCTCTCCCCCTGGGCTATCTGGGGTCCAGCATCCTCTGGAAGAGTCGTTCTCACTGCCCTGGAACTCACCGTGGCTCGGCAGCTGTACGATGGAATTTAAATACTCCTACGCTGGTCCACCCGTCAGTGTCTCCGAGGCAGTTCACATTCAAATAGAGAGTCATTAAAAGACATACACGTTAAGGGGAAGTAGACACCATACCTGGTCATGCACCCAAACAAAACAGACAGGTTAAATGGGCTTTGAGAAATGCACTCAATAAAAACGTCTCACACACAAGCTTTGGTATGGACAGCACCAGGCAGTCCATAGACGTGGTGAATTAGAGGCACGGAAACACTCCTCAACAGTGATATTTGTGCACAAAAGCTTCATGGGAGATAAAGTTCCCTCCTGCCTGTGTTTCCCTTTTGTGGAAATTAGGGTATGGGAGGAGAGGAAGGGAAAGGTGGAGTAGCACATGTTGGACTTCACCCCAGTGTGGCATCAGGGTACCCAGGCGAGAAACTCCTGTCCCCTGCACTCAGAAATATGCCCAGGGTCCAGAGACTGGACGTACCCAAAGAGTCGTTGCGAGGGTAAATGTCACCTCCTGCGGCGTGCACACAACCATGCACAAACACATGCACATAGACCGATACACACGCGAAGCTGGTCCAGGACGCGTCTGTGGGGCTCTTGACTAATGAGTGGCGTGAATCTTCATGTGGAAGTGGTAATCCTCCTGCTCCGGGAAGTGCTGGCCGCACACCGAGCAAGTGCAGCCCTTCTCCTTGCTGTGCGTGCGGCGCACGTGGCTGTCGTGGGCTGCATGCGAGGCAAAGGCTTTGCCGCAGTGCTTGCACTTGAAGGGCTTCTCCCCCGAGTGCTGGCGGATGTGAGTGCGCAGGATGCTGGATGCCGTGAATGCCTGAAAGGGCAGGGACCGGAAAGGGGGGAGGAGTTGAAAGTAATCTATTTTCACATATATAATCCCCAGGTTTAGCTAAGCCAGACCCCATCAGAAGCCCTGTGCTCTGTAGTCCTCAAATAGCTCACATCCTCAGATATCTGGAGAAAAAACAGAAGCTCCCAGCAACGAGGAACCAGAAGCCAACAGCTATCGCACTCAGACAAACAGGTATGACTGAGTCCATGGAGTTAGATGAAGCTCAGAGAAAGATTTCTGACCAGAGACACTAGTAAATAACTTCTACATGACAAAGGATAAGAAGTCAATACTGTCCTAATTAGCTTTGCAGCTCCTTTATGTTTGGGAGACATAATGCAGGTTTATTTTCAGAGTTAAACCGTTTCATGCTTACATACACTGGCTCGGGATTCAGCTGCCAGAACTCATCCACACAGTCAGTCCAGCATCCATCTTTTCAGGTTTCATTTTCCCCTTCCACCATACTCTGTTCTTCCTTCAGTCAGACATTCCAGCCTGTTTTCCCCCCTCATGAGTAGCAAAATGAGCACAATCACACTTTGTCCCCCTCGTAAAGACTCCTCCTGCATTTGGGGAGAAAA